CGCTCCTGTCGGTCTGCTCCTGTCGGTCCGCTCCTGTCGGTCCGCTCCTGTCGGTCCGCTCCTGTCGGTCCGCTCCTGTCGGTCCGCTCCTGTCGGTCTGCTCCTGTCCTGCTCTGAGTGATTGACAGGCCAAACCGACCAATCACAGTGAAGTCTGACGTCCGAGAAGCAGCAGACGGTTTCAGTTTCCTCAGAACCGGACCAGAGATGAACTGAGGATTTGGAGTTTTTCGTGCGTCTGCGTTTGGCTTTTTGACTTTTTAGTTTGAACTTTTGAAATACGACCGAACAAAACTTCCTTTGTCTTTGACTTTTTGAGGAATCTGTGGCGCACTGAGGCTCCCCAGTCCCCAAAATCTCAAGTTTAGGTCAAGAGAAGATTCAAAAATACTGAACTGAAAGTGTTAAAGGTTTTATCTGACGCAAAACTGAACTTTAAATCCTCAAAACACGACCTGGACTTGTGTTTTGTTTCCTATAAATGTCCTCAATCTGGAGCCTTTGCGTTTGAGTTTTAGACGTCGACAACGAACATTTCGGACGCCGTGAACGAACAGGAGAAAAATACTTGACGCTCGTCCGTTGTCCTGGAAACAAGAGTCCGGTCCTGGTCTTTTCCCCGAAACGATGTCAGACCAAACGGAGAGACTTTAGTGTTTTTATGACGTAAAATCATCAGCGAAGGAGAAAGACTCAACGACTGAAGTGTGTTTATATTTATACTCCACTAATGACACTGGATCAGTCCTGGTTTAGTCCTGGTTTAGTCCTGGTCCAGTCCTAGTTTAGTCCTAGTTTAGTCCTGGTTTAGTCCTGGTTTAGTTCTGGTTTAGTCCTGGTCTGGTCCTGGTCTGGTCCTGGTCCAGTCCTGGTCCAGTCCTGGTCCAATCCTGGTCTGGTCTCTCGGTCCGGTCTCCGTCTAGTCCTGGTCTAGTTTCTCGGTCCAGTCCCGGTCTAGGTCTCTCGGTCCAGTCCCGGTCTGGTCTCTCGGTCCAGTCCCGGTCTGGTCTCTCGGTCCAGTCCCGGTCTGGTCTCTCGGTCCAGTCCCGGTCTGGTCTCTCGGTCCAGTCCCGGTCTGGTCTCTCGGACAAGTCTTTTTTGTCTTAGTTTAGTCCTGGTCTGGTCCCGGTCTAGTCCTGGTCTGGTCCTGGTTTAGTCCTGGACTCGCTGCATAGAGTTTAAAAACACAGTGGAGCACTTCTGTATCACCACATGATGACATCACAAGGTGGAACAGAGGGTTTTTTTCTATTTGAGAGAAGAACTCAGTGTAAATGTGCAGGTTTGTGAGTTAAACATATAAAAGAAACAAAAACAAAAAAATTAAACTCCAGGTCAGAAAAATTGTGTAAAATTTGCCCTTCAAAATAAAATTCGTCTTTTCTCCACTGACAGAAACGTAAATAAAATCGAGAATTTGTTTTTTTTTGTGGTGTTTTGTGTGGCCCCGTCCTGTCCTCACCTCGGGTCCCGTCCCCTCGTCTCCTCGTCCCCTCGTCCCCTCGTCCCCCTCGTCCCCTCGTCCCCCGTCGTCCCCTCGTCCCTCGTCCCCTCGTCCCCCTCGTCCCTCGTCCCCTCGTCCCCTCGTCCCCACTCGTCCCCTCGTCCCCTCGTCCCCTCGTCCCGTCCCCTCGTCCCCTCGTCCCCGTCGTCCCCTCGTCCCCTCGTCCCTCGTCCCCTCGTCCCCCTCGTCCCCTCGTCCCCTCGTCCCCTCGTCCCGTCCCCTCGTCCCCCTCGTCCCTCGTCCCCTCGTCCCCTCGTCCCCTCGTCCCCTCGTCCCCTCGTCCCCTCGTCCCCTCGTCCCCTCGTCCCCTCCCCTCGTCCCCTCGTCCCCTCGTCCCCTCGTCCCCGTCCCCCTCGTCCCCTCGTCCCCTCGTCCCCTCGTCCCCTCGTCCCTCGTCCGTCCCCTGTCCCCCTCGTCCCTCGTCCGTCCCTCGTCCCCTCGTCCCCGTCCCCCTCGTCCCGTCCCCTCGTCCCCCGTCCCCGTCCCCCTCGTCCCCTCGTCCCCGTCCCCCTCGTCCCGTCCCTCGTCCCTCGTCCCCCGTCCCCCTCGTCCCCTCGTCCCCTCGTCCCCTCGTCCCCCTCGTCCCCCTCGTCCCCTCGTCCCCTCGTCCCCTCTCGTCCCCTCGTCCCCTCGTCCCCCGTCGTCCCCCTCGTCCCCCTCGTCCCTCGTCCCCTCGTCCCTCGTCCCCTCGTCCCTCGTCCCCTCGTCCCCTCGTCCCCTCGTCCCCTCGTCCCCTCGTCCCCTCGTCTGGAGGTGAACGGGGCCCGGAGCCGAACATCTGGACGGAGCCGAGCCAGAAGAAGGAGCCTTTGTTCCAGCGCCAGGTCCACGTTTATTTCCACCGATCCAGACGAAGAGACGAGACGAGACGAGAGGAGAGGAGAGGGGGCCCCGTTTAGACCTGGTTTAGACCTGGTTTAGACCTGGTTTAGACCTGGTTTAGACCTGGTTTAGACCTGGTTTAGACCTGGCTTAATCTTACTTTAGTCCTGTTTTAGTCCTGTTTTAGTCCTGGTGTAGTCCTGATTTAGACCTGGTGTAGTCCAGGTTTAGTCCAGGTTTAGTCCAGGTGTAGTCCAGGTTTAGAATTTATGTAGTCCTGGATGAGTCTTAGTTTAGTCCTGATTTAGTCCTGGTTTAGACCTGGTTAAATCCTGGTGTAGTCCAGGTTTAGTCCAGGTTTAGTCCAGGTTTAGTCCAGGTTTAGTCCAGGTTTAGTCCAGGTTTAGTCCTGGTGTAGTCCTGAGGTTTAGTCCAGGTTTAGTCCAGGTTTAGTCCAGGTTTAGTCCAGGTTTAGAATTTACATAGTCCTAGTTTAGTCTTAGTTTAGACCTGGTTTAGACCTGGTATAGTCCTGGTTTAGTCCTGGTTTAGACCTGGTTTAGACCTGGTTTAGTCCTGGTTTAGTCCTGGTATAGTCCTGGTTTAGTCCTGGTTTAGACCTGGTTTAGACCTGGTTTAGACCTGGTTTAGTCCTGGTTTAGACCTGGTTTAGTCCTGGTTTAGACCTGGTTTAGACCTGGTTTAGTCCTGGTTTAGTCCTGGTTTAGACCTGGTTTAGACCTGGTTTAGTCCTGGTTTAGACCTGGTTTAGACCTGGTTTAGTCCTGGTTTAGACCTGGTTTAGACCTGGTTCCTGGTTTAGACCTGGTTTAGTCCTGGTTTAGACCTGGTTTAGTCCTGGTTTAGTCCTGGTTTAGACCTGGTTTAGTCCTGGTTTAGACCTGGTTTAGTCCTGGGACATTTCTTGTATAAACTGGGATAAATCAGTGGTTTTTGTATAAATCTGTGGACGGGGGGACACAGGTTCAGGACTGGGACTGTCCCGGGTCCATCAGGTCTCATCCCTTAAACCTTCATCTGGACGTTAAACAAAACCTCAGTCCAACGTCAAGTCCCGGATCATCACCGGACTCAGATCTTTTCACAAACAACAAGTGAACGCTTTGACTCGTCCCCCGCCGAGTCTAATCACGTTAAACATCACCAAAATAAACTCCGGGCTCAAGTCCCACGTCCCACGGTCCCGAAGTCCCACAGTCCCACGGTCCCGAAGTCCCACAGTCCCACGGTCCCAGAGTCCCAGAGTCCAACAGTCCCAGAGTCCAACAGTCCCAAAGTCCAACAGTCCAGTCCCAGAGTCCAACAGTCCCAGAGTCCAACAGTCCCAGAGTCCAACAGTCCAGAGTCCAACAGTCCCAGAGTCCAACAGTCCCAGAGTTCAACAGTCCGTCCAACAGTCCCAAAGTCCAACAGTCCCTGGGTCCTGTGGTTCTTGATGCTCGAGGGTAAAACCAAGAAAAATGCAGCTTTAAAAGTCCAAATGCGTCGCATCTTTGACTGTTCGAGTGGAAACTGGTTTAGACCTGGTTTAGTCCTGGTTTAGACCTGGTTTAGACCTGTGGTTTAATCCTAAAATCTAAAACTAAGTGATTAAACGTCCCTGTTTACCTGGGACAGTCCCAGGGTCTAAACCAGGACAGATGTAGACCTGGTTTAGACCTGGTGTAGTCTTAGTTTAGACTTGGTTTAGACCTGACATTAGTCCCCGTTCAGTCCTGGATTTAGTCTTAGTTTGGTCCTGGTTTAGACCTGGTTTAGACCTGGTGTAGTCCTAGTTCAAGCTTAGTTTAGACTTTGTTTAGACCTGTTGTAGTCCTGGTATAGTCTTAGGTTAGTCCTGATTTAACCCTGGTTTAGACCTGACATAGTCCTGGTTTAGTCTTAGTTCAATCTTAGTTTAGACTTGGTTTAGATCTGTTGTAGTCCTGTTGTAGTCCTTGTTTAGACCTGGTATGGTCCTCGTTTAGACTTAGTTTAGTCCTGGTTTAGTCTGGTTTAGACCTGTTTTAGTCCTGGTTTAGTCCTGGTTTAGTCTTGGTTTAGACCTGGTTTAAACTTGGTTTAGACTTGGTTTTAGACCTGGTTTAGTCCTGGTTTATACCTGGTTTAGTCCTGGTTTAGTCCTGTTTTAGTGTTCATTTAGTCCTAGTTCAATCTTAATTTAGACCTGGTTTAGACCTAGTTTAGTCCTGGGTTAGTCCTGGTTTAAACCAGTTTTAAACCTGGGTTAGTCCTGGTTTAGACTTGGTTTAGACCTGACATAGTCCTGGTTTAGTCCTAGTTTAATATTAGTTTAGACCTGGTATGGTCCTCGTTTAGACTTAGTTTTAGTCCTGGTGTAGTCCTGGTTCAGTCCTGGTTCAGTCCTGGTTTAGTCCTGGTTTAGTCCTGGTTTGTGTCTCTTGATGCTCGCAGCTTTAAAACTCCAGCTGCGTCGCATCTTTGTTTGTTTGACGCGGGGTGCGGGGCTCGACTGGAAACTCTGCCCCCCCCCCCCCCCAAAAAAAACCCAAAAACCCAAACACCCAAAACCCAAAAAACCCGCAACTGTCCCTGAAACGCTCCCGTCACCTCCGCATCTGAGCCGATCCCGAAACTCCGCCGCGCTGCGCATTAAGCCGCTATTCTTAGTCCGCCGCACTAATGTTCTTACCTTTGCGTCAGGATCCGCTCGGTCCAGATTCTCCGGGACGCCGAGAAAACGCGTAGACTCCGCCACAAAAAAAAAAAAAAAAAAAAATGCAAAAGAAAAAAAAAAAAAAAAGAAAAATCCCCAAAAAGGTCCAGCGTTCGGGCAGTATAAATCACTTCTTCGGTCACTCGCGACAAAGTGACGCAAACGGCGACGCGAACGGCGAAACAAACGTCCCGCACGCCGATTGTTGATGATGTTCGCGTCGGCGGTTTAAAGTTGAAGCGTCGTCCGTGCGTAAAACTGCGGCGCTCTCCAAACGACGCCGCAGGAAAACGAAGGAGCAGAAGAAGAAGAAGGAGGAGGAGGAGGAGGAGGAGGAGGAGAGGTCTCGTGCCGTGCCGTGCCGTGCCGTGCCGTGCCGTAGCGTCCCTCAGCGCGCTGGTAAATCCGTCCCTTTGGATCTGGGACGCGGCACCGCAAAGGATTCTGGACCGTTTTAAAGCTGCAACGCGCCGGAGGAAAAAAAGAAACACCGAGACAAGTTTAACTGAGAGAGAGAAACAGAAGAGAAAGACCTGGTTTAGACCTGGTTTAGACCTGGTTTAGTCCTGGTTTAGTCCTGGTTTAGTCCTGGTTTAGTCCTTGGTTTAGTCCTGACCTGGTTAGACCTGGTTTAGACCTGGTTTAGTCCTGGTTTAGACCTGGTTTAGACCTGGTTTAGTCCTGGTTTAGTCCTGGTTTAGGTTTAGTCCTACTTTAACTGGTTACCTGGTTTAGACCTGGTTTAGACTGGTTTAGTCTTGGTTTAGTCCTTGGTTTAGACCTGGTTTAGTCCTGATGTAGACTTGGTTTAGACCTGGTTTAGACCTGGTTTAGTCCTGGTTTAGTCCTGACCTGGTTTAGACCTGGTTTAGTCCTGGTTTAGTCCTGGTTTAGTCCTGGTTTAGTCCTGGTTTTAGACCTGGTTTAGTCCTGGTTTAGTCCTGGTTTAGACCTGGTTTAGTCCTGGTTTAGACCTGGTTTAGTCCTGGTTTTAGTCCTGGTTTAGTCCTGGTTTAGTCCTGGTTTAGTCCTGGTTTAGACCTGGTTTAGTCCTGGTTTAGTCCTGGTTTTAGTCCTGGTTTAGTCCTGGTTTAGTCTTAGTTTAGACCTGGTTTAGACCTGACATAGTCCTGGTTTACTCTTGGTTTAGTCCTAATGTAGTCCTGGTTTAGTCCTGACATAATCGTGGTTTAGTCCTGGTTTAGTCCTGGTTTAGACCTGGTTTAGTCCTGCTTTAGTCCTGGTTAGTCCTGGTTTAGTCCTGGTTTAGACCTGGTTTAGTCCTGTTTAGTCCTGGTTTAGTCCTGGTTTAGTCCTGGTTTAGTCCGTGTTTAGTCCGTGTTTACTCTGGACAGTTTCAGTTTTGATCCCAGTTTTACACAATGACAATGTCCCAGTGTTTCTATTTCTGACCAATCTGATCCTGGAACAGTAAACAGACAAAAACTCACATTTGTTTTGGACCAAAACACAAAGAAAATGTGACTAAACTGAACTGGACTCACATGTTGGTCATGTTCGTCAATAATGTTCCATAATTACACACTCGTTTCACAGTTTTATTATTAAGTGAATGTCCCAGTTTTTGTTTTTTGTTTTAATCTGGTCAGTGTATCTTCACAGGAAACTGAAACTTGTGATAAAAATGTGAGTGAAAATCTCCAAAAATGTTGAATTCATATTGAAACAGAACAATCAGAAACACCAAAGTGAAAGAGTTAAAAAAGACACTGATTTGTCCCAGTTTTATTCAAAAAATGTCCCAGGTGTCTGTATTTTGGACCAATCTGATCCTGGAACAGTAAACAGAGACAAAAACTGACATTTGTTTTGGTAAAATACAGAAAATCTGCTTAAAAATGACCAAAACAAAAAGAAAATGTGACTAAACTGACTCACATGTTCTTCATGAATGGTCCTGCAGAACATTTTAACTTAATTACACACTTGTTTCACAGTTTTATTATTACCAACCACCATGTCTCAGTTTGTTATTTGTTTTGTATTTATTTTATTTTGTTTTATTTTTGTAGTTTTTTAAAATTAATTATTATTTTTTATGTTATTTTTTATTGTTATTTATTATTTTTTGTTGTTTTACTTTTTAAAATAATAATATTTTATTTATTTATGTTTTGTTTTTTATTGTTTTACTTTATTTAAATTTTTTATTTAATTTTTAAATTTTTATTAATTTATTATTGTTTTACTTTTTAAATTATTTAGATTTTATTTATTTATGTTTTTAATTGTTTTACTTTTTTATTATTAATTATCATCATTAATTATAATTTTTTAAAATTTATTTTTAATTATTATTTAGATGTTATTGATTTATTTATTTTTTGTATTGTTTTTCTTTATAATTATTATTATTTGTTCATTTTTTGTGTTTATTGTTTTGCTTTATTTTGATTTTGATTTTTTAATTTTTATTTATTTATTTTATTTATTTTTTACGTTTTTATAATATTTGTTTATTTTTTTACTTTTTAAATAATTATTTATTATTATTATTATTTTATTTTTATTTATTTATTTATTTATTTTTATTTTGGTCACGTGTCTTAAACAAACACAGGTCTCTTCTCTCTGTTTTGTTGCAGAATTTTAGGTCAAACCTGTTTAAATGATCAGTTCTTGTAATATTCTGATTATTGATCCACCTGAACAGGAGCAGTGTCCTGTGCACGCGCCTCTGTGGCCTGTGCACGCGCCTCTGTGGCCTGTGCACGCGCCTCTGTGGCACGCGCCTCTGTGGCCTGTGCACGCGCCTCTGCAGCTCCAGAACGCGCACACGAGCACTAAGGTTCACGGGCTCCATCGTGCAGCGCGGTCATACGTCATAAACCCGGATGCCCTGCCTCGGCGCGCGCGAGTCAAACGTGACTGAGTCTGATTACGCACGAACAAGTCTGAAACTCAAATGAAACGGTTCAGATGTTCGATCCATAAAAGGTTGAACTGAGCCCGTCGCTATGATCACGTGCAAAAGTAAAGCTGCACCGCCCCCGTGTGGCCGCGCAGAGTAACGCACCGAACCGCAATCATCCTGTGACGTCACGAACATTTAACTTTATTTATTTTTCATTTTCATTTTAATTTCGACGCTCAGGGCTGTGCAAAAATATTGAAATATCGATATATCGCATAGATTAATTTGATGAATCAGTATCGATATCGTGGGCTGCTGTATCGATATATCACCAAGAGTATTTTTTTGGTTTATTTTACTAAATAATTTTGCGTAAGAGCTTCATTTTCACTGTTTTGACGAGTAAAATGTGGAATTTTCATTTTAACTTTGCACAGACTTTAAAAAGTTCAATGACTTTTCCAGGCCTGGAAAATGACATTTTCAATTTCCATGACCGTGGGAACTCGGGCTTGGATCATTAAAAAGTTGCCGATACGATACAAACCTCGATACACAGGCCACGATACAATACGTTTTTCGATACAGTGCACAATACAATTCGATACGATATTTCTCACAAGAACCTTTCATTTATTTTCTTTTCTTTTTCATTTTTATTTCTTTTTTATTTTAATGCACAGAGCTCACCAGGGCTGTGCAAAAATATTGAAATGTATCGTTTAATGTGATGATTCAGTATCAATATCGTGGACTGCTGTATCGATATATCGCCAAGAGTAAATTGTGGTTTATTTTACTGAATTATTTTGTTACAGAGCTACAGTTGTGTCGACATTTTCACTGTTTTGACGAGTAAAATGTGTGAGTTTTATTTTAACTTTGCACAAACTTAAAAAATTTCAAAGACTTTTCCAGGCTTGGAAGATGACGTTTTCAATTTCCATGACTTTTCCAGGATTTCCATGACGTGAGAACTAGGGCTTGGATCATTAAAATGTTACATACCTCGATAAACAGGCCACGATACGATACATTTTTCGATACAGTGCACTTTCGATTCATTACAATTCTATACAATATGTCTCACCAGAACCTTTCTTTTTCATTTTGTTTTTTATTTATTTTTTATTTCAATGCACAGAGCTCAAGGTTCCCACTAGGGCTGTGCAAAAATACTGAAATATCGATATATCGTGTCTTTTAATGTGATGAATCAGTATCAATATTGAGTATCGATATATCGCCAAGAGTAAATTTTGGTTTATTTTACTGAATTATTTTGTTACAGAGCTGCAGTTGTGTCGACATTTTCACTGTTTTGACGAGTAAAATGTGTGATTTTCATTTTAAAAAGTACAATGACTTTTCCAGGCTTGGAAGATGACGTTTTCAATTTCCATGGCTTTTCCAGGATTTCCATGACTGTGGGAACTAGGGCAGGTTTCATCAAGAAGTGGCCGATACGATACGAACCTCGATACACAGACAAACGATACGATACGTTTTTTGGGTACAGCGCACTTCTGATTCAATACGATATATCTCACGAGAATCTTTCATTTTCATTTTAATTTCTTTTTATTTCAACACACAGAGCTCAGGGTTGTGCAAAAATATTGAAATGTATCGATATTGTGGGCTGCTGTATCGATATATCACCAAGAATATTTTGACTTTGCACAAACTTATCAGACTTTTAGTATCAGAGCCGTGACTTGAACGTTTTTTCAATGAACAGTATTGAATTGATTTGAAATATCGTATTGAATCGTAGTGAATCAAAAGTGCACTGTATCAAAAAAAAAAGTATCATATCATGGTCTGTGTATCGAGGGATGTATCGTATCGTATCGTCAAAAGTCTCACAATAATATCTCGGGGTGTCACAAAATATCAAATTTCAAGTTTCTTTTGCTTAAATGTTTTGTTTTACAGAAGCAACAGTTTATAAACACTGAGAACTACATTTCCCATGATTCATTTCAGCGCAGACAGCATGAAGAAACATGTTTTTTACTTGAATTCTCTGGATTATGACGGAAATAATTCACACCAAAATCTTGTCAAGGTGTTTTAAAAGTAAAAAAAAAAGTGTCCAGACCGGTTTGTCAAAGTCTGATCCCGTCAGATCTCAGACGCTCATCAGGTTCTGGTCTGGGTCT